TTGTGAGTCGAGCTCTAAAGAAAACAGGAAAACACTCATCAATTTATCATGTGGAGACGTATACCTTCCCTTTATTGGGCCTATAAAGAAGACTATTTTATTCGGGAGTCTACTCATTTATATACGTAAACTAAGAACTAATTAAACACTTATCTATTAACAATAATGCTCACCTACTCACGGTGGACACATGTTAATATGCTCACCGCTTCTGTGGCATGCACACATTGACGATGTTAATATGTTCAAAAAAATACATCATCAATATGTGCATGCCATAAGCGGTAGGCATATTAAAATGTGCCCACCGTAGATAACGGAGCATTACTCTATCTATTAAACTGTGTTTGTGAAAATGGACAATATTCAATATCACTCCATGCCTTCAACAAATGCAGTCACTTTATTTTATAGTTTCTCTAGTTTAATGAAAATTTAGCGTCGAGCTTAAACAAGACGAGATAGATCAATCTCGGTTCATTTCCATTCAAAACAAGTTCAGCCAAGCTCGATCGAGCTGAGTTGAGCATAATCGAGCTCACATAAAAGATGATGACCAGAGTCTGCACAAAATATTCTATTCACAAACTAATCGAGCCGAGCAAAACCCACTCGTGTTCGACTCGATTATAAAATGAGCACAAGTTCAAACAGGATACACTCGAGATTTTTACCTGAGCTACAGAAGGACTCAGCTCACAAAATGACTCGGACTTTTTAACCCCTTCCCAGTCATAATTTCCGAAAAAATAACTTTTCCACGAACCCAAGCTGAAATTTCCCTAACATATCAAGGTTTTTATAATCTCAAACATTTTCAATTGGAAAACTCATCTCAATTGAGCACGACCAACTCCCGGCACTCGTCAAAATCACAAATTTTTGCATGAGGCTTATAAATAACTTTCAAGTTCCATCATGCACTAGAAGATATGTGTGCATTTGTCAAGTTTATCCTGTTATGGTCTGCACTCTGCAATAGTTTCGGGAAAAAACAATCTCATGCTTGCCAGACCATCATAAGGGACCTGTTTAAGGAGATTCGAAACATGCCTATGATTAGTACATTGCTCAAAACGCTTGTATTACATTAGATAATCAAGCATCGAAAGATTGCAAATACCACGCGAATTAGAGTAACAACAAAAGGACTAAAGTCGAAGCCTTGGGAGTTGGGATGCAGCATATTTTAAAAAACGGGTCCATCTCCGAACTAAAAGATACGGTTCATAGAGAAAAATCTAAAGTAAACTACGAGGCCCAAATTAGACATTTAAATGATTGGGTTTAGAGCCACAGACCTGGATTGATACTGTTGAAGAGTGTTCTTGGGCTCGGGCCAAACTGGACATTGGGTTTGGTAACCCAGTGCTGGGAAAGTGTGCTCGATTATAGGGAGGCCATTGAAACGGATTCTGACCAAATATTTCACAAATGAGTGTCAATCATATTCAACTGTAATTAAAAATCGAGTGGTAACTGGTATTTTACATAGTTGTAGTTGTGGAATATGTCCAACTTAAAGATCAAATATAAAAATGAAAATTCGTATGCATTAAATAAATATAAAAAGCACACTAATGGGAAATATTCGACTAAAAAAACAGACCGTGAATAACAGAGCTCATGGTGCCTAAATTTATGCTGAAACTTCCCATCACCATCTCTCATTCAACAACTGTTCGGCCAAGTCGATTTGGTTATCCTTGCAGAGACCATTTACAAGAGTATTATAGGTAACCGAATTCGGAATAAGATCTCGTAATAACATATTGTCCCTCAACTTCAGGGCCTTGATAATGCTTGGAACCGGCTAATTTGAATAATCATCTCAAAAACCAAGCGAAGCATGTTACTTTCTGTTCTGATTTTCTGTACAGATGAAAGACAATACATAAATAAAACTATATGAAGATAACATTCGTGAAAGGGAACATATGAACCGATAAATATTAGGGTTGATTAAAATCAACCTCTGAGGTTTTTCACAACAGAAAAAAAAAAAAAA